CGAAAGAGCAGATGCATTCCCTGGATGCAGCAGAGTTTTTCTCCGTAGTCTAAAAGCTCTGTAGTCCAGACACAGCCTTAAAATGAAATTCCCCATCCCTCATGACATTATAGTGGGTCTCCCTTCTTATGAAACGTGAATGTCACTGTCTATGTGCTTCCATTTCATATCTCTTCGATTCCGCTTTGCTTCATTTCTAGAACACAAGGTTAAGGTGATGTCCACTGCAGAAGACAAGTTAGTTTCTATATTCTTTTTAACAGAGCATGGCGTCTCAGTGGACAGAGTACTGGACGGGGACTCAAAAGACCTGGCTTCTTTTTGAGTGTCTTACTGGACTACTGAGTGACCCACTTTGCGGTTCCATGCCTCAGTTTCCTCATCCTTATGATGTGGCTAATGATCCCCAACACCTTCCTAAAGCACTTTGAACACAGTGAAGGAAAAGAGCCAGGTATGACTTGCCATGAAAGCTGAAGAAACCCAAGATTTAAATTTTTCAATTTAAGGAGTTCCCATTTCCAAAGTAATTTTAAGCAGAATTAGGCCAACTCTGTGTCCTTCTGAATATCCTGCCCTAAATGGGCTAGTACCAGTTTTAACCAACACCCCCCTCCCCCACCACCACTGCTGCTCCCCAGGCAAATTAACTACACAAAGATCCCACCCCAGAGCTGACAAGGACATAGGTGGACCAAAGGTCTCAAGGTCAACAGAACATCTGCCAAGAACCACCACGAGATTTTACTGCAAAAATAAAACTGTCTTAAAGTGACAGCGTATGAACTACAGGGAAGTCCTGATTCCCCTTTCCCCCCCCCCAAATCACGCACATTATTAATTCATCTAAGACATTAGGGAGATAGGGAAAAGAGAAGGAACGAGGAAGGACTTTGTTTTCAATGCAAAAAAGTTCGTATGAACATGGTTCTACGTAGAACATAGCTACACTATTCTGAAAAGATCAAAAAGAAGACACCAAAACATGTGAGAACCACCTATTGATGTACAGACATACGTTGTAAATCCAGGTTAAGCATAATTCCTAAGAGGTGCTGCACCCCAACTTTACATTGTATGGACACTACCAGAAAGGATCATTTTTTAACATTTCAATGAAACCAGTTATTTTAATTGGATTGAAACTGTTCTCCAGCATTGTTAGCGACTGGTCTTTGCTAGCACGCAAGACCCAGGACACAAAAATGCCTGTAAACAAAAGCGAACCTTATTCCACTGTTCTCATTGCCCCAGCTCAGCAAACTGCAACCAAGTCAACAAACACTAGAAGTAGAAGAGGGGCGAGATTCTACCTGCTGTGATCCTGCAAGATGCAGCGCAGAATTCTGAGCCTAAGGAAGGAGAGATTATGGTGGATTTAAACCACCTTTTTCTCCCCCCATGTATGAGCTTCTCTGCTGCCCCTGGAATAACACAGATGGCTCTGGGGCCTATTTGAAGAACATCAGCTTTTCCAGGCAGCCCTTGGGCCCAGGGCACAGCCCTAAATCTTTGCAGTGCTCCAAACTTAGCCTTGCCACCAGCACACACCCTTATGCCAGGCTTGCAAAGGGCTGTTCCAAATTGGTCTTCTACAATTCCCGCACCAGGGGAACCCCCTACCAGTCAGATCCATAATGTTTTTAGAGCTCTTTAATGCCATGCCAGGCCTCTGATGGTCACAGAGGGCACAGGGTAAGGTTAGTATCTCAATCTCACGTAAATCTTTTTGAAAAACTCTCCATTTTTACTAACCCTGCTGGAGATTATTAACACAGGGAAGAAAACAGGTGAATTGAAAATCTTGTTCCAAGATAACAGAGTTTTTTCACTCCACGGATTCATCAATTAATTTGATGATAAAAGAAACAGTTTTAAAAATAGGACTTTTTAATCCAGTAGGGATCCCTTGAAAGTACACTACACAACTTCAAGCTGCAAGACACCTATACATGCAGCCCACATGCCTTTTGTGCATGCCATCTGGTCTTAAGAAGGGCTCAGGCTGTATACCTCTCTCTCTGCAGGGCACATATACATAACACTTCCAGTATAGGGAGGCGAGACTAGATGGGTTTTTTCAATGTGTTGAATGCCAGTCAGGGCAAGCATCAAAAGGAAGACTCGGCATGTACATACTAGTGCTGGACACACAGCTGCTGACTGCACCAATATGATTTATAGCATACATTATATACCCACTTGCACCAGATCCTGTGCTCACTTACATCTGAGCAATCGCAGTGACACAGCCTGGCCCTAGATCACCCTACAAGGACTTTCAGCTACAAAGAACTGAGCACACACCGTGTCCTCCCCAGACCAGAGGCCACTTTCAAAACCATGGGCTTTCAAACCTCTTGGAGCCCCAAGTCAGCCCTTTCCAATCCTTACACGGGAAAAGCAGTGATTTCCCTACCTCAAAAGAAAGCTCTGAGGAGAATTTCATTTACGCTTATTTATGTGCACGAATTACTGTTATATATTGCTTCTGCGAAACACCTAATAGATTCATGGAACTTGCTCTACACTGGCATTTCAGAAGAGCCAAGCTTCTTATCTTTAACAACAAAGTAGGCTTTGCCAGGCCTGGGGTGTTTTTGGTTTTTTTTGAGAAAGCAATAACTCTAGCTTCTCCTATGATGATCTCCACGACGTGAATTCCTTATTCCAACCTTCCTGCTGGGAGGTAGCCCCAAGACCCACCCCTTTTCTCTTTTTAAATATAGGTTCTAATTATATAGGAGAAGGGTTGTAAATCTGGTACTGTGGTACTAAAAACCACACCAGAGCTCCTGAAACTGTGCCAGTCATTTTCTCTGGGGCCAAAAATATGTAAGAAAAAGTCAGTTTCATCACCACCTAACATTAGCCCAACTTTCTGGCATCAAGCACAAAAATAATTTAAACCACTAGAAAGTCCTTATGTTTCACATTTGCTCTGGAATTGCGAAAAGGAGAGAAAGAGCTACGCATCTTTACCCTGGCACAGGTTAAGAAAGAACATAGATTTTAATCCTACAAGCTTATTAACTGGCATTTGAGGCATGGAAAGTTTGCAGAATTGGGCCAATCAAGTATCTCTAAAGAAAGTTACCATTCCCCCCAAAATGTACCTGTAAGGAGGGCTTAAAAGCTTTCCTGTTCACTCAGGGACATAATGACCTAGTGCCTGGACTACTGACTGACTCAGTCCATTAATTTGGTTTTGTGCAACAGGGTCTGTTGTTCAGATTGACCTTTCCAAAATCCACTGACTGCACCAATCTTCGAAACAAAAATCAGCATCAGAGCAACACTGTACTAACCCACCCTTAGCACAGTTTATGCCTGTCTACCTCAGGTATGGACTAGGAGCTGGCTTCTGGAGTTACTGAAGCCAAATAATACAACATCACTGCTAAGAACTGTTTTTTTCCCCAAGTCTCTGACTCTGGAATTCTCTTCAATCGTTCCAATTAAATAAAGTTTCATATCTGTCAATTTCGGTTTACTAAGTAATGGGAAGGGAGGAAAATCACAATCTTAGGTACTTCCTGTGGTCTTTTTGCTGCTCTTCTCAAGGAAGATATGTAAGCAATCACATAGGACAAGCTACATCATGACATCAAGGTGATAGCCCAGCTTGGATATGCCGAAAGGCAAGAAGACGTTAGAAGACTGCCTTCGAACACCTGAGACATGAGAGTTATCAGATCAGAAGAGAAAAAGCATGGGGGCTTATTTGCAGTTCCACAGAAGCTCTAGAACTTCACGGTCATCAGAGGTACAAATCTCACTTGGATTTTTACAATTAGCATGACAGGACATCACAACTGACAGAACCACTCGGTGGAGTTAATGCAAGGCTGGAATTGTTTCAACCTCACAAGTTAGCTTTCAAGTCAATTCAAATGAAATAAAGAGGCACCAGTAACAAATG